TTTTTGAACCTATACATTTTTATAATCAGCCCCATGGCATATGCACGGTTTATGCATGTATTAGTTTGTTTGCTGTTTTATTATTTATTTATTTTTAAGATTTTATTTTTAAAATTCATTTATTTTTAAAGATTTATTTACTTATTTTAGAGAGAGAGTATACATGAGCAGTGGGAGGGGCAGAGGGAGAGAGAATCCTGAAGCAGACTCCCTGCTGAGTGTTGAGCCCTGAGCCCAGATGTGGGCTGATCACCCTGAGATCATGACTTCAGCTGAAATCAAGAGTTGGACACTTAACTGACTGAGCCACCCAGGCGCCCCTGAGATTTTATTTTTGAGTAATCTCTACACCCAGCGTGGGGCTTCAACTCAGAACCCTGGGATCAAGAGTCGCATGTCCCATGGACTGAGCCAGCTGGGTACCTCTTGTTTGCTGTTTTTTTTTTTTGTTTTGTTTTGTTTTGTTTTTTTAAAAATTTTATTTATTTATTTGACAAGGAGAGAGAGATCAAAGTAGACAGAGAGGCAGGTAGAGGGAGGTAGGCAGGCTCCCTGCTAAACAGAGAGCCCGATGCAGGACTCGATCCCAGGACCCTGAGATCATGACCTGAGCCAAAGGCAGAGGCTTAACCCACTGAGCCACCCAGGTGCCCCTTGTTTGCTGTTTTAAAATACACTTTAGGGGCGCCTGGGTGGCTCAGTGGGTTAAAGCCTGTGCCTTTGGCTCAGGTCATGATCCCAGGGTCTTGGAATCAGCCCCACATTGGGTTCTCTGCTCAGCAGGGAGCCTGCTTCCTCCTCTCTCTCTGCTTGCCTCTCTGCCTACTTGTGATCTGTCTGCCAAATAAATAAATAAAATCTTAAAAAAAAAATGCACTTTATTTCATGAGCATTTTCTTTTGTTCTAGAATCCTCATTTTAATAGTTTTTTGTTCTTTTTTTGGTCCATAACACAGTTCATTTAATTTATCCCACCTCTGAAATTTGTTTTCATTATTTTGAGCAAAGTTTCAACTGCCATCTTTTAAATATAAAAGTTTAAAAAAATCCTTTAAGTTACTTTCTTAGAATAAATTTCTATTAGTCTCATTGTTCTGGATCTAAATGTGACATGAGAGGGTACAGTTTTATTGTTTGAAATCGTTTTTCTCACTTCATTGGGAATTCAGTAACATTTTTTTTACTAAAGAAGAAAGCAGTTGCAAATCAGTGCAAAGTTGTGCTTCTGTGCCGGGTTAAGCTATTTATTTTTCCTCCTTTTCATTTGAAAAAATATAAAAGTGCTATGTGCTACTTGTAATGATTTCATATCCACTTTACAGAGCAATCAGTCCTTTGCTATTTAGTAAATTAATTTTTTTTCATCGAATTTTTTCCCCCAATGGATCATTCCTGTGTTTCAGTATTTAAAAATTACCAAACAGTATACAGTGAAGTCTTCTTACCCAGTTCCCTCTCTTGGGGACAATTAATGTGATGATTCTTCTGTTTTCTTTCTGTTTTTCATATTTTATGCATATTTGAGCAAATGTATGTGTGTGCTTTGTGTACGTGTGTGTCTCTTTTTAAGCCATAAATGTTAGCATGATGCACATTTTTTTGTACATACTTTCTTAAATAAGTCTTTTATTTGTATTTAATTTTAAAAAAGTAGATGACCCATGCATGTGGTTCAAAAATAAAATAATGTCAAGACTTGAATAGCTGCCCTCCAATCTGTTCCCTGTCTGCTATCTCTCAATGAGTCTTTGTGCATATAGAAGCAAATAGGAAGAGACTTATTTTCTTTTCCTCCTGTAACTCTTAGACTAACATTTCCACATCTAAGGAGGCAGAATAGAATGGGCATTAAGAGCTATGGATTGGGGGCCAGCTCCCTGCATTCAAGGTGTCTGCTCTGCCACATATCAGCTGTGTGATCGTGGGCAAATTGCCTAACCTGTCTGTACTTTGTAATTTTCATATGTAAAGTACTAGTCAGTATACATACTTTGCTTCGAATAGTTCCATACGTGTAAGAAGTATGTGTGCTCACTAGTAGTAACAGTATTTTTATTATTAAGGACAGTAACCAATAAAATAATACCCTAGAATCAGTACCAATTAGTTGGATTTATATTTAGTGATATGTATGGATTTGGGTAAACTCATTTAGCAGAATAGGATAGATGAGATTACTCACTTGCTTAGGTTCTACTTGAATACTTTTTATTTTATTTAAAAATTTTTTTAAAAAGATTTTATTTATTTGACAGAGACATAACACAGCAAGAGAAGGAACACAAGCAGGGGGAGTGGGAGAGGGAAAAGCAGGCTTCCTGTTGTGCAGGGAGCCCAGTGCAGGGCTTGATCCCAGGATCCCGAAATCATGACCTGAGCCAAAGGCAGTGCTTAACAACTGAGCCACCCAGGCGCCCTTATTTAAAAAAAAAATTAAAGGTTTATTTATTTGAGAGATAGAGGGTTAGGGGAGGGGCGGAGGAAGAGTGAGAGAGAAACTTAAGCAGTCTTAAGCATGGAGCCTGACACAGGGCTCCGTCTCATGACCCTGAGATCATGACGTGAGCCGAAACCAAGTGTTGGACACCTAACCTACTGTACCACCCAAGCGCCCCTCAAATACATTTTAGAAAATGTCAGAAAACAATTCAAAGCAGCTCAAATATATTTTTGTTGTTCCTTTTTTTAAATTTTTTTTTAATCTTTTTTTTTTTGCATATAGTTCTTTAAACTAAACACACTTTTATAACAAAAGCATCTCAGAAAAGGTGAGGGTAGAGGTGGCTGCTAAGAGTATGAATTTTTTTCCATAATGCATCACATTTTAAAAGTGTTTCCTCATGTATTTTCCAAATTTGCTTAAGATACACACATATCTATACATAATATTTAATTTTGGGTGATAGTGACCCATAAAGCTTTTTTTAAATTCCCTGGCCATATCTTTTTAGGATCAAATTGTTAATGGCATTAAAAGTTCTTAGGATGCCTGGTTGGCTATGTCAGGAGAGGATATGATTCTTGATCTTGGGCTAGTGAGTTCAAGCCCCACATTGGGTTTTGCGATTACTTAAGTAAATTAAAAAAACAGCAACAACCCTGAAAAAAAAGTTCTTAAGCCAAGCAAGGGACTGGAAGACTGAATTGTATTTCTATTTAATCTTTCCATCCTCGGTTCTTTTTCTTGATAAAATCAAAGCAACACAAAACCTCTTTCCCTTTTTGCACCTTCAGATCCCAGTTATAAAATATATGTTCACTGTAGAAGATATAAAAACAAACAAAAAACCCCAAAAGAAAACTTAAAAACAGAACAGGGAAATAAGAATAACCATATTACCTCTACTCAGCTTAGTATTATTTCTGTTTAACAGTTTGGTGTCTAGACTTCTTGCATTTTTCTCTAGATAGGTGTGCCTGCACACTCATGGTACTGATCTCTCTTTTACAGTGGTGACATCAGGAATGCTGCACACACTGGTGTTTTTCTTTTTTCAATCGTATCATGAATATTTTAATTAACAAATTACTATAGTATCATTTATAACTGGTGCATCATATTCCATTGAGCACATATGCCATACTGAAATATATTTTGTAATATGTTTCCTATTCAAGGGCATTTAAAAATAAACTATCATTGAACATTTGTGTAGGCAGATCTTTTTGGACATCCATTATTTCCTCAGGATAAATTCTGAGGCATGAGGTTCTCAGGTTGTAGGATAATGCATGTTTCTCATGCTTTGGCACACATTGTCAAACTGTTGTCCAGGCAGTTGGTATCTCCCTACATATTTGCCAGCATGGGGTCTTTTCTTAAGTCCATGCCTATTTGAGACACAAATTACTCCCCTTCTGAATTGGTGCAGATTCACTTCCCATTGCCTCTAAAATCATCTCTTCACTCTTCCCTTCTTCCCTCTCTTGCTATTCTTCCATATCCTTCCTCCTTCCCACCTCAGATTTCATAGAAGCTGGATTTGGTCCTGGTTGGAGAGGGACCAGTTTCAAATATTCTTCACCTCACTTTTTACCTGCATTGTAGGGCATTTGCTGTATAAAATCTTTCTGAGCCTTTTTCTGGACAGCACTGATTTTTCAAAAATTAGTTACTAATCTCTTTCAATTGTAGAAGTTCTGATTTTCACTTTTGTCAGTTAATGTGTTCTATTTGTTAAGTGACCCTATGCATTAGCACAGTGATTGAGAGAACTGTTTCTGGAATCCTGTAGATCAGGTTCAGATTCCAGCTCCTGTTCTTGTTGACTAGCTTTAGAAACTAGGACGTCTTAACCCCTGCAGTCCTTCTGTTTCTTTTCTTCACTTGTAAAACAGATAAAATGATAATACCTTCCTCAAGATTTTGTGAGGATTTAAAAAGGTGATGCTTTTAAATATTCCATCATGCCCTAACATATTAGTAAGCACTCCACAGAGTAGCTCTTACCATCATCTCATCTGGTGTGTGTGTGTGTAAATGAAGCAGGAATTGTTTTTCTCCTTTTGCATTTTAGTAAATGGAATTCCATCAGAAAGATAGAATATTTTTCCTACTGCCACATCTAGAAAGCGCTGGCATGTGAACCTGAATTTAGGACTTTTGATCTATAAGGACTACTTCAAAGTGGGAAAACTATAGAGTGAATGACAAGAATTGTGCCTAGTAATTAGGATCATCCAGAAAAACATGACAAGCTTTAAATATGGGGCTTGAGTGACACAGCTTCTAAAAAGCTTTGGCCAGCCAGAAGTAGGCAAGAAGTTGAGCTTATTGCCTGAGAAGAGGAACTGTTCCTGTGCATCTTGACCTCAAAAGAGGTTGCTCTATTCAAAAGTCTTCCCCACACAAAACCAAAAGAGTCTTTTCAAAAAGGTGAAGATGATGGAGTACTAGGATCAAAACGTTTATTAAGTTTGTCTGCTTTGGTTTAAATTAGAATGGAGTGCTGCTTTAAATATATGACTGATTAGGTTTTATTTCTACTTGTTTCCAACAGGGCATGGTGCAGATGTGAAATGTGTAGACTGGCATCCAACAAAAGGGTTAGTTGTTTCAGGAAGTAAAGATAGTCAACAGCCAATCAAGTTCTGGGATCCCAAGACTGGGCAGAGTCTTGCAACACTGTAAGTGATAGGAACCACACCTTGGTCCCTAAACAAAGGGGAACGAGACTGTCTGTACTTTTTAACTTTGAGCCTTCTCTCGTCCTGTGTATTCATGAAAAACTAGGGTACACAACAGATGAACTTGTACCTAGGGTCTTCTTATTAATTAAATATGATTTTTGTTCTTCTGTATGTATCTAAATTTAATTTGGATATCCTTGGGAGTGGGGGCAAGGACAAAGATGAAGAAAAGGTGGTTCTCACTATCCTAGGTTGTGGTCTCTCCTTGTGATACATTTTGGCACTCTATGTAGCTAAGGTGGCACCCACTTACTTACTAGACACAGCCCAGTCTTCTCCATCTTACCACCTCTATTTGTAGAGGAATTTTGAATTCCTCAGTTTCCCCAGTTTTGAATCCGTTCTCATTTTCTGTTTGAGGTGCTTACTTACGATGCAGCCTCATAATAAAGTTTTGTCTTTTTAAAATTACCTATTATTATATTTTATATTACAACATATATTTTATATTATTATATTTTATATTACTATTTTTTATTATTATCTGTCACTATTCATAGTTAAATAAACATATTATTAACATGTGTTTTGATCACACCTCTGCATCCTGGTCCTTCTGACTGGAAAGTGAGCCAAATCCAGAGTGAGCTGGTTGGAGCAAGGCTGCCTTGTTACATAACTCCAGTGGCCACAACCAAATAGGACACATTGTGACTGGTGCTCCTTGGAGATGTGCATTTTGTAGGCCTTGATTTGTAGTGTTTTTAGTTCAAATTAACCCTCAAACTATCCTGTGCTCTTTTTTTAATGCTTGTCTTAATGAGAGGAGTGTCACTGAATTTTGAAAATTTAATGAGCTTTATTGAATATTAATTTATGTGTTCAAGTGCTTCCCCTGCTTCACAGATAAGCTTTTCTATACAGTTGAAGCTCTGCTGCTGTTTTCATTGGTTAATGAAAACTGTACTTAGATAATGGACATTAAGAAGCAATAAAGCTTGTAACATAACAAGACCACATTAAAAGTAAACTTGAAAGAAATAGGTCAGCCACAAAAATAATGTCCAAACCTCTTGCCAGGAGGCCCAACCTCTTGTGTCTTGACCCATGTGCTTTTTAACAAAAATGGCCATTGTATTGATTTATCCTTGTTTTGAATTCTGACAGATTATTTTCTTGGTACTTTGTTTCTAGTCATGCCCATAAAAACACAGTAATGGAAGTGAAATTAAATCTCAATGGCAATTGGCTACTCACTGCATCACGTGACCACCTCTGTAAACTTTTTGATATCCGAAACCTGAAAGAAGAGCTTCAAGTCTTCCGAGGTCATAAGAAAGAAGCCACAGGTCAGTGGTTGTGGCATGCTTCTCATTCTATCACCTGTAGTCTGTTGAGATCCTAACAATTTTGCCTTTGCCCACGTTTTTGTTTCGCAGCTGTGGCCTGGCATCCTGTTCATGAAGGACTTTTTGCCAGTGGAGGGTCCGATGGCTCTTTGTTATTCTGGCATGTGGGGTATGTGATACTTACCATGTAAAGAAGTTGTATATTTTATGAAGAGAGCACGCAAAAGTGTAAAACATAATGTCTTGTCTTTTTCCTGAGTGTTCCTATGTCCTATATCAGAGACTTCCTGCAGTTTTCAATTCTGTAAACTCAGCTTGGAATAGAAAACTTAGCACCTTTATTTTCGGATCTAGAAGTCATCAAGGGAGATTAAAGCAGATTTCTTTGTTTCTGATTGGTGAATTCATTCTCCAACCATTTTTCCCTCTGAAGTACTCCTCAGTAAAAGAATATATTGTTGATGACCAAATGAATACCCCTGAAACACATGGAACTGACCAGATTCAAAGTAACAGGCTTTGGTAGATTTGTGTTACAGCAAAAGAAAATGACCCCCCCCCCCTTTTTTTCCTTTTTGGTAACTTTTGTGAAAAGACTTCTTTCTGTGATGCTATTACAGGGTAGAGAAGGAAGTGGGTGGGATGGAGATGGCCCACGAAGGAATGATCTGGAGTCTGGCTTGGCATCCTCTTGGACATATTCTCTGCTCAGGTTCAAATGACCATACTAGGTAAGCTTTATATAAAAAATAACAAGGACTTACTCTCTTCATGGAGCAGCAGAAAATGAAGATTTATATTTATTGATAGATTAATATATTTGTAGTCCAACTTCCTAGGAACATGTAGTGGTTTATTGATACGTATGTAATAATAAGAAATAGAGTATTGAGTATGACTTTGTTACTTGAATTTTGGTTTGCCTTCATATTTAAAAAATATTTTGACATCTTAAATTTTTAGAAGAAAGTCACTGTAAAACTTTGTTATGTTTACTGGTGGGTTGTTTGGTACTCTTAAGTGCCCAGGAATATACTGAAACTGTCCTCCTCCCCTCACCCCTCCAATCACTTTTATTTTAACAGCAAATTCTGGACCCGAAACCGGCCAGGTGATAAAATGCGAGATCGATATAATCTCAACCTATTGCCTGGAATGTCTGAAGATGGAGTAGAATATGGTAAGATTCACATATTTATCCTTCTTTGAAATCTGATATTCTCTTATTAAAGCATTATGGAAAAGATTATATGAAACTAAATTTAGTTTCATAGTTTACTGATTGATTAAGGTTTCATTTTTATAAAGTGTTCGTTTATTGGGCCACTATGTTTATAAAATCTCTGTGATAATAGATGTATTCCTATTTATAGATGACCTTGAACCTAATAGCCTGGCAGTAATTCCAGGAATGGGAATACCAGAACAACTAAAATTAGCTATGGAACAAGAGCAGATGGGTAAGAGACATTGTACCTATGTGTTTTATTTTTATAAAATTTTGGGGGGCGTCTGGGTGGCTCAATGGGTTAAAGCCTCTGCCTTCGGCTCAGGTCATGATCCCAGGATCCTGGGATTGAGCCCCACATCCGGCTCTCTGCTCTGCAGGGAGCCTGCTTCCTCCTCTCTTTTCTCTCTCTGCCTCTTTGCCTACTTGTGATCTCTGTTTGTCAAATACATAAATAAAATCTTAAAAAAAAAATTTTTTTTTGTAGAGCTGTTAATAACTTTCATGATACTAAATTATTTTAAAAATGCCAAAATAGTTTATGTTGAGACATGTTGATAAAAGTGATATAAACTACATATTTAAAGTCTGTTCTTTAAAAAATGTGGTTTTTTCTTTTTTCTTTTTTTTCTTTTCAGTGTTCCAGAATTCATTGTTTATGCACCACACCCAGTGCTCCATGCAATACGTGCCCTCCTTAATACCTACCACCAGGCTCACCCAACCCCCCACCTCCTCCCCTCCAAAATCCTGTTTGTTTCTCAGAGTCCACAATCTCTCATGGTTCATCTTCCTTCCAGTTTCCCCCAACTCACTTCTCTCCATCTCCGCATGTCCTCCATGTTATTCCTTATGCTCCACAAATAAGTGAGACCGTATGATAATTGACTCTCTCTGCTTGACTTATTTCACTCAGCATAATCTCTTCCAGTCCCGTTCATGTTGATACAAAAGTTGGGTATTCATCCTTTCTGATGGAGGCGTAATATTCCATAGTGTATATGGACCACATCTTTTTTATCCATTTATCCGTTGACAGTCATCTTGGTTCTTTCCACAGTTTGGCAACTGTGGCCATTGCTGCTATGAACATTGGGGTACAGATGGCCCTTCTTTTCACTACATCTGTATCTTTGGGGTAAATACCCAGTAGTGCAGTTGCAGGTCATAGGGAAGCTCTATTTTTAATTTCTTAAGGAATCTCCACACTGTTTCCAAAGTGGCTACACCCACTTGCATTCCCACCAACAGTGTAAGAGGATTCCCCTTTCTCCACATCCTCTCCCACACTTGTTGTTTACTGTCTTGTTAATTTTGGCCATTCTAACTGGTGTAAGGTGGTATCTCAATGTGGTTTTGATTTGAATTTTCCTAATGGCTAATAACGATGAACATTTTTTCATGTGTTAGCCATTTGTATGTCTTCTTTGGAGAAGTGTCTGTTCATGTCTTCTCCCCATTTTTTGATGTGATTATCTGTTTTGTGTGTGTTCAGATTGAGTTCTTTATAGATCTTGGATATCAGTCCTTTGTACTGTCATTTGTGAATATCTTCTGCCATTCTGTGGGTTGCCTCTTTGTTTTGTTGACTGTTTCCTTTGCTGTGCAGAAGCTTTTGATCTTGATGAAGTCCCAAAAGTTCATTTTCACTTTTGTTTCCTTTGCCTTTGGAGACATATCTTGAAAGAAGTTGCTGCAGCCGATGTCAAAGAGGTTACTGCCTGTGTTCTCTAGGATTCGGATAGATTCCTGCCTTATCTTGAGGTTTTTTTTTTATCCATTTTGAGTTTATCTTTGTGTATGGTGTAAGAGAATGGTCGAGTTTCATTCTTCTACACATAGCTGTCCAATTTTCCCAGCACCATTTATTGAAGAGACTGTTTTTTTTCCACTGTATATTTTTTCCTGTTTTGTCGAAGATTATTTGACCATAGAGTTGAGGGTCCATATCTGGGCTCTCTACTCTGTTTCACTGGGTCTGTGTGTCTGTTTTTGTGCCAGTACCATGCTATCTTAGTGATCACAGCTTTGTAGTAAAGCTTGAAATCAGGCAGTGTGATGCCCCCAGTTTTGTTTTTCTTTTTCAACATTTCCTTAGCAATTCGGAGTCTCCTCTGATCCCATACAAATTTTAGGATTGTTTGTTCCAGCTCTTTAAAAAATGCTGGTGGAATTTTGATCGGAATGGCATTGAAAGTACAGATTGCTCTAGGCAGTATAGACATTTTAACAATGTTTATTCTTCTGATCCATGAGCATGGAATGCTTTTCCATCTTTTTGTGTCTTCTTCAATTTCTTTTATGAATGTTCTGTAGTTCCTTTACCTCTTTGGTTAGGTTTATTCCCAGGTATCTTATGGTTCTTGGTTCTATAGTAAATGGAATCGATTCTCTAATTTCCTTTTCTGTATTTTCATTGTTAGTATATAAGAAAGCAATTGATTTTGTATCCTGCCACATTACTGAATTGCTGTATTACTACTAGTTTGGGAGTGGAGTCTTTCGGGTTTTCCATATAAAGTATCATGTCATCTGCGAAGAGAGAGCATTGACTTCTTCATTGCCAATTTGAATACCTTTTATTTCTTTTTGTTGTCTGATTGCTGTTGCTAGGACTTCTAATACTCTGTTGAACAAGAGTGTTGAGAGTGGGCATTTTTGTCGTGTTCCCGATCTCAAAGGGAAGGCTGTCAGCTTTTCCCCGTTCAAAAATGTGTTTATTGATGACGTGGCCATTTGCTCTCATTTCCTTGGCTAACTGCTTCTTTTTGTGGTTATAGGGAAAGATGAATCAAATGAAATTGAAATGACGATTCCAGGTTTGGACTGGGGAATGGAGGAGGTGATGCAAAAGGATCAGAAAAAAGTTCCTCAGAAGAAAGTTCCTTATGCAAAACCTATTCCTGCTCAGTTCCAGCAGGTGAGTAACTAGCAGCAGTCCCAACTTGTCCATGCACCGTGGTGTTCTGCTTCTTGAGTGCCTCTTGCATTGTCTCATCTATGGAAAGTATTTCTATACTACAGACTTCTTTGGAGTATTCTTCGACAAAGTTCCCATCTGCTGCTCTGCAGTTAATGCTGAGTTGGTCATGATTCTTGTAGCTCTTCTTTTATTCTCACCTACCTCTTATTATCCAAGCTATCAGAGGAAGGAGAAGAAAAAAGCATGGAGCAGAGAGAGTATGTTGACTCTCTTCTTCGTTTGTCTGTCTTCTGCTTTATTTGTCCCCTCAACACAAAGTGCATGTGCCCTTTCAAAGAGGTGGGCAGGCTTTTCATTCTCAATAACACGTAAGATCTTACAGTGTTTATCAGGTTAGTAGTTTCTACCCGATATTGTGCTTTCCTGACTCATTCTCGTTACAGGAAGGAGCATTACAAATAAAGACAGTCAGTATACAAGGCTGGCTGGCTTGTATTTGGCAAGTTGGAATGAGCCAGTGACATTACAGAATTTTTTTCTCATTCTCTCACTGTAATATACACACTTAGGGTGTATTTTAATATTCTCTTCTTTCCCAAGGCTTGGATGCAAAATAAAGTTCCAATTCCTGCCCCAAATGAGGTACTGAATGACAGAAAAGAGGACATTAAATTGGAAGAGAAGAAGAAAACACAAGCAGAAATTGAGCAAGAAATGGCCACATTACAGTATACTAACCCACAGCTTCTGGAGGTGTGTGATACTCTTTAGGGGGTTCAAGATGATCCAAGAAAATAGTGATATTTTTTTATTGATATGCTCTTACAGAGAAGGGAAGGGCTTCTCAGATGGGTCTTATGAACACCACCATTTCTTTATGTTTTTCAAATTTTCTTAATTGAAGTATAATTGACATACAATTTCATAATAGTTTCAGGTGTGAAAGAATTCTGTTTCTAACACTTTTAAAACCAAATCAGAAAAAAAAAATAAATAAATAAAACCAAATCAGTCAAGCAGTGAGTAGAACTAAGTTAAATATACATTTTATTTTTTTTTTTTTTAAGATTTTATTTGTTTATTTGACAGAGAGAGATCACAAGTAGACAGAGAGGCAGGCAGAGAGAGAGAGAGAGAGAGAGAGAGAGAGAGAAGCAGGCTCCCTGCTGAGCAGAGAGCCCGATGCGGGACTCGATCCCAGGACCCTGAGATCATGACCTGAGCTGAAGGCAGCGGCTTAACCCACTGAGCCACCCAGGCGCCCCTAAATATACATTTTTTAAAAAAAGATTTATTTATTTATTTGAGAGAGAGAGAAAGAGAGAGTGCGAGCGAGCAGGGGGAGGGGCAGTGGGAGAGGTTAGAGAGAGAATCTGGAGCAGACTTGACACTGAGCACAGAGCCTGATGCCGGACTTGATCCCACAACCCTGAGATCATGATCTGAGCCAAAATCAAGAATCAGACACTTAACCTACTGAGCCACCCAGTCTCTTCTTCATATACATTTTTTTTTAAAGATTTTATTTATTTGTTTGACAGACAGAGATCACAAGTAGGCAGAGAGGCAGGCAGAGAGAGAGAGAGAGAGAGGAGGAGGAAGGAGGCTCCCTACAGAGCAGAGAGCCCTATGTGGGGCTCGATCCCAGGACCTTGGGATCATGACCTGAGCTGAAGGCAGAGGCTTTAACCCACTGAGCCACCCATGTGTCCCCTTCATATACATTTTTTAATGGGAAAGATAAAACCAACATAGTTTTAACTTGGATCATGTATTTATTGACATATAAAATAATTTTTCTGTCAGCTCTAGAGCAGGTGGTTTGCTCTTATTTTTGTTCATCTTTGACAGTTAACCAAAAATGAGAAAACATTAGTAAATTTTTGAATATAATAAGATGATTATAAATAATCCTGACTTCTGTTTTCCCAGTATTTAAAAAGAAGGAGTCTAGGGAGCCTGAGTGCCTTAGTTGGTTAAGTGACTGCCTTCCAGTCAGTTCAAGATCCTGGGGTCCTGGGATCGAGTCCCATATCAGGCTTCCCCTGCCCAGTGGGGAGCGTGCTTCTCCCTCCCCTTCTTCTTGCCACTTCCCCTGCTTGTGTTCTCTCTCTCTGTCAAATAAATAAATAAAATATTTTTTAAAAATATAAGAAGGCGTCTAGAGTGAGTCTGGAAGTTTGTGTGCTCTCAGAATATCTGAATGTTATATGAATTCTTGTTACTGTGGAGTGTTGAAAGGTTGATGCCTTATGTTTGTCTTGAGGCTCCCCCAATGAAATAAGTGATAGCAGTATGTCATCTTCAAGGGTTCTGGTGTATTTATCATTATGTTTTTTTTCCTTTCTTTCCAGCAACTTAAAATTGAAAGACTTGCACAGAAACAGGCTGAGCAAATTCAGCCTCCTCCTTCATCTGGCACCCCTCTCCTCGGACCCCAGCCCTTTCCAGGACAAGGTCCAATGTCTCAGATTCCTCAAGGTTTTCAGCAGCCCCATCCATCTCAGCAGATGCCAATGAACATGGCTCAAATGGGGCCTCCAGGTCCACAGGGACAGTTTAGACCCCCTGGACCCCAGGGACAAATGGGACCACAAGGTCCTCCGCTGCATCAGGGAGGTGGGGGGCCACAAGGATTCATGGGACCACAAGGGCCCCAGGGCCCGCCCCAGGGGTTGCCAAGGCCTCAGGACATGCACGGGCCCCAAGGAATGCAGAGGCATCCTGGACCTCATGGCCCTTTGGGACCTCAAGGACCACCTGGACCACAGGGTAATTCTGGTCCTCAAGGTCATATGGGTCCTCAGGGTCCACCTGGCCCACAAGGTCACATAGGCCCTCAAGGCCCACCTGGTCCCCAGGGTCACTTGGGCCCTCAGGGGCCTCCTGGTACTCAAGGTATGCAGGGACCACCTGGTCCCAGAGGAATGCAAGGACCTCCTCATCCTCATGGGATACAAGGTGGGCCAGGGTCTCAAGGGATCCAGGGTCCTGTGTCTCAGGGACCTCTGATGGGATTGAATCCAAGAGGAATGCAGGGTCCTCCAGGCCCCCGAGAAAATCAGGGTCCTGCTCCCCAAGGGATGATGATGGGCCATCCGCCTCAAGAGATGCGAGGACCTCACCCTCCAAGTGGACTGCTGGGACATGGCCCTCAGGAGATGCGAGGCCCTCAGGAGATTCGAGGCATGCAGGGGCCTCCAGCCCAAGGGTCCATGCTGGGCCCCCCCCAGGAATTGCGAGGGCCTCCAGGCTCACAAGGTCAGCAGGGGCCGCCCCAGGGCTCTTTGGGGCCTCCACCCCAGGGTGGCATGCAAGGGCCCCCTGGACCTCAGGGACAGCAGAACCCGGCAAGAGGGCCACATCCATCTCAAGGGCCAATACCATTCCAGCAGCAGAAAACAGCTCTGCTAGGTGATGGGCCCCGGGCCCCCTTCAATCAGGTATTATTTATTTCTAACTTACAGGCATTGCACATTGGGAAAATATGCTCTGCACGGAGGTGGCACTTCCAAATGCTGTGGAAAGCAGTCACAGCTTGTATCAGTGTCTCTCAAGTAGTCATAGTGGCTTGAGAATAGCGTCATGGCTGAAGAAGGAAATGAGAATAAACAAGACCATTGAATATATTGTAATATGAATCTTTTCAATAGAAATCATTCCAGAAAAGATCAACTTTCAGTTGAATACCATTCATAATTGTCCCCAGGCTCTAAAAGAGCTGTGGCCCTGAGGAGGAAGCAGGGGTGGCCCTAGGCCTGTCAGATCCCCCTTTCCTGGGCTCTTTAGTTTGTAGCCCAGGGTTTCATGGGCTAATCCACCTGCCGGCTCTACTCTTTAAGATAGGATGGAGTATTTAACTCACAAGTGTATGGTAGACTCTGATCTCACTATTTTCATTTCAGCAAATGCTTTTAGAGTTCTCTGAATCCAGAATTGTGCATTCTCAGATGGTGACCCCCTGGACAAAATGCTGTTCAAGTTGTTTTCCACTCACATGTAAACTTATTTACTGGAGGGAGTAATTCTGTAGAAATTGTCTTGGTCCATTTCTGAGGATTCTGTTTTTGTTAGTTGAGTTTTATTACCCATTTGCTGGGCTTGTGCTTGAGAAGTGGTGTGAGGAGGGTTCAGGTTTTGTGTGGGAATTACAGAAAGACTGCATGAGCATGAATGGATTTACCACTCTTTGGCTCCGTGGTTTTGATATTTTTTTCAGGTTCATAGTCTGGAAGCATTATTTGGGTATGAAGCACTGGGTTTAGAGAGGATATGCTGCATGTGAAAAACAACAGTCTGTTTTTGCATTTTCCAACACCTCTGAGAATCTGTCCTGTGAAGATGACATTGGGTTTACCAAATTAAAATAACCAGCAGAATAAGTAGGTTAGGCATTACTATTCCATAGATCTTCCAGGACTTACAAGTGTCATAGCAATGAAGAGTAGTTGAGTTTATTTCCAAAATCTGTTGGACACTTTTTAGAATTTAGGGTGAGAGGAATAAATCTAGGTTTATTGTCCTGAACTGCCCTAAAATGTGCAGTGTTGTATGTTTTATTAATACACAGCATTTGTGTATGTGTACAGTATCAGTTCCCTAACCTTACAGTAATGAATTAATAGCTTTCATTTGGGAGGACAAAAACAGTGATGAACTTTAGTTACGTTATGACTGAAATTAAAAACCTGTCAGATTCAAGAGGATAAGCCTGAGTTTCTGGGACAATTCAGTTAGAGTTTTTATTATATTAAGCAGTAAAAGATATTATACATGAAAAACACAATGGCTGTAAAGATTTAGTTGACCTATAGAATGAGTATAAAGGTTGATGCATTATAGGACATTTCAAATCTCAAAGAGTTGACTGATGAAATCTTTACTCCTATTTTTTATGTGCTGAAATCTGACTTTCTTCACTTTGATAAGGCTAATTATTTAAGCCAGTTGTTTCAGTTGGTTTAATTTAGCGGAATTGCTTTCTGGTGTTAAAGTAATAGCATGAAAGATGTTGATAAGAGCAGTCCTTGGGTGAAGAGGACAGGAACCAAAGGAAGACAAATTACAGGTATTGAGTTAATAATAGTCATTTGTAGCTACAAGCTGGGTGTCCTAACAAGGCTGCTCTTTCATGTAGCTAGTTTGGAATGTGCAAGCCATTTTGCTATGGATGGTTTTGAAACTCTTCTATTTTTATAGTAGGCCCAGTTACCAAGTACATTTTTTTAAGTAAAGAAATGTATTTTTTTAATTTTATTTAAAGATTTTATTTATTTATTTGACAGACAGAGATCACAAGTAGGCAGAGAGGGGGAAGCAGGCTCCCTGCTGAGCAGAGAGCCCGATGCGGGCCTCAATCCCAGGACTCCGGGATCATGACCTGAGCCGAAGGCAGTGGCTTTAACCACTGAGCCACCCAGGCACCCCAGAAATGTATTTGTTAAGAGACCTGATCCAAGGTCACTGGACAGTGTGGAGACTCAGAATTTAGACATGGCTAGGTTAAAAAAAACATAATCTTAGAGATAAGCTGGGATGAGGTCTGGGGTTCCAGAACATGGAGACACAGAAGAGGTTTGTATCTGCAGGGACCCAAGGGATCCAGCTGGATCACAGGCAACTCACCTGGGAATGAGCCATAGGGTGCTGAGGATGGGGAAATGCTGAGGTATAGAAGAGGGAGATAAAGCCAGTGTGAACATCTCATCTTGAAACCCTTTCATGTTCTTCTGCCTCTTCAAACCCAGCCCTAGCCTCTTAAGAGGAGTAGCTATTTTCTGTAGCTGGAAAAGAGTCCCAAGTGTGAGAGCCAAGTTTACCTGTCCTGGCAGATTTCCAGATCTTTACTTTTGCCAGAAGTTCCTCCTTTGTGCAGAGTGTTAATGTTATGATTTTTGACTTTCCATTGAGGTTCTTACTTGGCTTCACAGGTAAAGATCTAGCTTTAAATAAAACCTATCATCAGGTTTAAAATAAAAGTGTTATCTTTTGTTATGGTAAGAGAAGTATCTCCTTCCCCCAATTTAAGGATGATTTTACTATAATGTCACTAGGTGTATGTTTACTGCTGGAGGCTTTGGGACAAATTAGTGTTTTTTATCTTGTCACATTATGATAAAATTGCTATTTATGAAGCACAAGCCTATGATTTCACACCCCCGCTTTAAAAACATCTTTTCAGGAAGGACAGAACGCAGGCCCCCCACCCCTGATACCAGGCCTAGGGCAGCAGGGAGCACAAGGTCGCATCCCCCCTCTTAACCCTGGACAAGGACCTGGCCCTAACAAAGGTAAATATCTGCTCGGCTGAATAAGAGTTGTATTTTACCACCTCTTGGTAAATCTTACAATAAATAGTTTATTGGTAAGTAATGGATAGAATGGTCATTTGAACCCTGTAGGAAAAATAGGAGCACTGTCATTTCAGGTAAAGGCTTTGTCGTCACGTTGTTTTCACAGACTGGCTTTAGTTAGCTAAAAATGCTGCCCTGAGGAGGTAAGCTCCTCACTACCTGAAGCTGGCGGTGAAAGTGCTGGGACAACCGCTAGTAGCAGGGCCTGGGCCACAGGCTGGCCTTATCCATGTCTGGGGAGTGGGAGTGGGTCCTGTGCTCACTGAATGCAAGTGCATGTCATTCGTATTCTGGAAATCTTCCACTTAGTTTTTGATGAGATAAAGAATTTAGAGATTTTAATAGTGTTTTTAGTATTATCCCCTTCTCCCCCCAAATTGTGTCATGTATTGAATTCTTTAGCTGGTTATATTGTTCTGCATAATTTGACAAGAAGAAAGCAATGTACTGATGTATCCAGTTCTTGGTACTATGGAAAGCACAGAGATGAGAACTGTCAGTATTTAGATATGAGTCTGTTTGGAAGTTGAGTTAATCTCAGGAGTTGAAAGCACAGAGGCAGTCCCTTGTGCTGAGGTGTTCTGCTATCACAGGGGAAGGGCTGGAGCAGGAGTGAGGGGTGGTAGACTGCTGGCTAGAGAGGGGAGGGCAGGACTGAGTGATGTGGATGGAGGGAAGGTTGGAGATGGAGTTGTTCAAGTCGGTGCACTGTTTCTTACAGGGAGGACACAAGCCAGAGATCCAGGAGTATTGTGGAGGTTGCACTTCAAAGAATTTAACTCCTTTTAATTTTTAATTAGCTGAGCCCACAGCACTCTGTGGCACATGTTACATTTCTTGCCCTCTTTTGATCAGATTAAGAAGAGTTTTCTTTAGCATTTTGTAGCCCTAGGACTTTGGGAGAAGCAGGACATCCTAGGAAAGGGAACAGAAAAGGAATTAGGAGAATCTTTATTATAGTCTATTGCATGAAAGTGGTGGCCAATAGGGAAAAAGAGAAAGCAAGAATCCATCTTTGGAATTTGGGGACCCTAAGAAAAGAAGAGTCTGTTACCCACAAGGTATAGCTATCAACAAACTGAGAGCCTGCCTCTCTTCCTCTCCCCTACCTTGTGTCTGTCTCCACCTATTTCCCTCTCCACCTTGCTCTTCCCCTTTTCTCTTTACCTCTCTCTCTCTCTTCCTCCTCTCTTTCTCCTCCCAGGGACCAAAGGGAGAAGGGAGAGCCGAGAAAGTGGCCCTGCCATCCCCTACTGGATTAACCAACGCCGCCGCCCCATCACCGGTGGCCACATCCCTTCTAATTTGTAGTGGTGGGTTTCTTTCCTTGGAGGAGCCAGGGTACTTTTAAACAGATAGAGGTAATGGGAGGATTATTATTCATAGGTAAGTCCAAATGGAATGTGTTCAGCTTCCTCAGGTCAAAGTCTGCTGTGTCTGAGATCACACCAAGTTCAAGCAACATAAAGTCAGAGAAGAAGTCACTAGCTGCAGGAACCCACTGAGGAGTGAGGAGCCCTCTTTACCACAAGGAAAGGGACCTGGGATATTTGCAAACTGACTGAACAAAGAGGCAACTTAGAAGGTGCTTTCCTCAGCTGGGAGAGGACTGGTTTAATGAAGGAAAGACTAGGAGGCAGAAGGCACAGGAAGAGCTTGAGAGAAGAGAGATACCTTCTAATGGTGTTTTTTAATACTGACATTTCCAACTTTTTTATATTTGTTGAATGGTGAGGAGGAATTGAAATGGCCAAAAGAAGGGAATAAAAAGGGAAGAGGAAGGGCATTGGGAGGGGAAGAATCCTGGCTGACTGTGACGTGAGGGAAGGAAGTTTGTCTTTACTGCCAAGGGAGAAGGAGGGAAAGACAAGCGGGGCAGGTGGAGGAATTTCATCTTAAAAATGTAGTTGTTTTAGGGCAGGAGGGTCCCTTTGCTACCTACTTTTAAAAAGTGCTTGAATTGTATGTTGACGGAAAATAGGTACATATTTTCAATGGCTGCACAGTAGCCAGGAGAGCAAACCCCTTCAAGGTTCAGAACTAAGCTAAGTTAACCATCACAACTCTAGTTGGCCTGTTTCTAGTTTTATTCAGGACTTGGAATATTTTACATATGTTAAAATGTTTTCAAAAAATCTTTAGCGGGTTTCCAAACACTGTGTGCAGTGAATAGTGATAATTTTTATAGTTGAGGGATATATATCATTCATTCATGCAAAGGGGTGGAAAATATGTTAATGTAACCCCGAAACTAAATTTTAAGCAAGGGCTGTTTGGTCACCAAGCAGTTATTAGGCCCGTGGTTCCATGTGCCTTAGGAGGATTTTGTTAAGAATCAAAATGTGCTTTGTTACAGACCCAAGCTGTCCATTTCTCTGAGGGGTTTGAATAAAGTATTCCCTGTCTTAAAAAAAAAGAAAAAAAAAAGAAAGTGTGAGTTAACAAATCAAGTTGAATGAACTAGGGGTTAAAGGAGCAGCATCAGGGATGGTGGCAGCATAGCCTCAGCGCCCGATGGGCTTTGCAGGCCTTTTCAGGTGCAGAGGTGAATTGCCTGTGCGTGGCTTCCTGGCCAGCAGCATGAATTTTCTCTGCTGTCTCCTCCCTGGCTATGGAGCAGACAGGCCTAATGAAGTCCTAGAACAATGGGGAAAGGGAAGGGATGCTCATTCTTACGCCTGTGAGACTGTTGCATGTTTTCTCAATTAATCCTCACAGCAGCAAGTAGTTGCTAATCTCATTTGAGACTAGTAATTTGCCTGAGGTGGAGGTGCTTAGTGAGTGGGTGATGAGGTTGAAATCTGCACCCAAAACCTGTGTTTTTCCATTAGATAGTGCCTTAGGGATTTGTCTCCTAAGTATGCTGAGAACTAAGGAGGGAAAACATTCTAAATACAAGAATGCATTCTCAAATTGTAAGATGCTGAAAATCAGACCTGTGCTGGTGGGATTCCTGGAAGACAAGGTAAAAATCAGCTTTGTTTCCTTTAGGTGACTCACGCGGCCCTCCAAACCATCACATGGGCCCCATGTCAGAGAGGCGGCATGAGCAGAGCAGCGGCCCTGAGCATGGGCCTGAGAGGGGGCCTTTCCGGGGCAGCCAGGACTGCAGGGGTCCCCCTGATAGGCGTGGCCCTCACCCCGACTTCCCTGATGACTTCAGCAGACCAGATGACTTCCACCCGGACAAGCGCTTTGGCCACCGATTACGTGAATTTGAGGGGCGAGGAGGACCTTTACCACAAGAAGAGAAGTGGAGGCGTGGGGGCCCCGGGCCTCCGTTTCCACCTGATCACAGGGAATTCAGCGAGGGGGATGGCCGGGGAGCAGCCCGGGGCCCTCCGGGGGCTTGGGAAGGCCGCAGACCTGGAGATGAACGATTCCCCCGGGATCCTGAGGACCCGCGTTTTCGAGGGCGCAGAGAAGAAAGGTGGGACAGATACTTTGTGGGTCTAGTTCTTCCCTGGAGCTGTTGAACTGTTCTACAAAAGTCTCTTTCCTCTTTTGCTTGGGCAGAGGGCACTATATTGATTACTAGCTCTGTCCAATCTAAGTTTTGCATTTAGACTTTTAGCAAGTATTATGCTTTTTAACATTTTTGTGCCTTTTTACCTTTACAATTTAGATATCTTTTTATTTTTGCTTATTTTTTGGTCCTTTGTGAGGATCAGTATAGTATGAAGTTCCTGGAACCTGATTAGAAGTCGCCAGATTCTCTTGGTTAGAATGATGTACTATGACACACCTAGGTTGAGAATAAAAGAATTATGAGATAGTTTTTGTATAATTGCCTAAAGATCTTAACACAAGTCAAACTGAAAATTAGTCTTGCTGTTCAGTTAGGTCAAGGTCAGGGTTAAAAACACTTAGCTTGCCAGGGGTAAAAAAGGTCCTGAAGAAATGAGAGGAAACAAGCATTAGTGAATCTCAGAGGAGACTGAGACTCCTCTGTGGTGGTGATGATTATTTCTATGTGCCAGTGAATTATGAGACCTGTGTTCTTGTCAGCAGTTTGCAGATGAGGGGCGATGATGAGGATCTGCACAGTTGACTCTCGGTCAACTGGAGGTGTGGGAGCGGCTTCAGGCGGGGCTGGTGGACCGCCGTGCACATGCCCATGCTGTGCGGCGCTCCCACTGTATGGCCACAGCGTTGCCTATCCCATCTCTCTTGACTGTTGCTAGTGGTGGGGGACTGAGTTCAGGGCTGGAATTCCCCAATCCTCATGGGATTTGTTAGAAAAGAAGGGCTGATAACATGGCCAAGGGTGGTGAAATCAAGGGGTTCAAGAAAGCAGCTTCCAGAGGGGTGTTTTTAAAGGATTTAAGGGCTCCTAGTTTTCTCAAGGGTCTCTCTCAGAGGTATCCAAGGATTCACTCTTTGAAATGTCTTTATTTTAGTCTGCAAGAGCCTCATTTCCGGTGGCTCTGGCATCAGTGTAACTTTCATTGATTTCTTGAACCTTTGCATCTTGTGCAGTTTCAGATTTTACCGTGCCTCAATGTTATAGTATTTCCTCTGTCAGTGACAGACCCACAGCCCAGACTCTTGTGCTGTTGACAGCTTTCTGTTGCTCTTCGGATATGCCCAACGTGTTTCTTTTCCTGTTGTGCTTGCTGTTTTCTCAGCCCAGAACACAGTCTCCCAGACGCTTGTGGCTCACTCCGGTTAGATCCCTCCTGTTAGCCCAGTTCCTTTATCCTGCTTCTTATTTCTTCATAGCACTTAGCACTGCTTGACATTAAGCGATGTGTATATTTCTTTATTACGTGTGTCTGCAAGGAACATGATGGCTTCCCTAGGGCACAGGGGCTTTGTTTCTTTACCTCTGTGTCCCCAGGACCCAGAGTGGTAGTGGAGACACAGTGTAGGTGCTCAGTAACAAAATGAGTTTGTTAAATGGGGAAGGGGAGTCAGTTTATCAGGAGATGAACTAGACAGCTTGGACTGCCATAACAAGGTACCATGGGCTGGGAGCGTGAAACAACATGAATCTATTTTCTCGAAGTTCTGGAGGCTCGAAGTCATGGATCATGGTCCAGCAGGGTGTGGTTTTGGTCCGACTTCTCTTCTTGGCTTGTGGGCAGTCAGCTACTTTCTCCCTGAGTCCTGGCCTGGTGGAGAGAGAATGCCTCTTCTCATCAGGGTACTAATCCCATCACAAGGCCCCCACCCTCATAACCTCTTCTAAGTTTTTTCCTCCTAAGACTTTATTTATTTATTTGAGAGAGCGCAAGCTTGCACATGCATACACATGGGGTAGGGGTGGGAAGAAGGAGAAGCAGACTCCCCACTGGGCAGGGAGCTGGATTGGGGGGTTGATCTTGGGACCCTGGGATTATGACCTGAGAGGAAGGCAGACTCTTAACTGACAGAGACATCCAGGTGCCCCATGATCTCCTCTAAACTTAAATTACCCCTCAAAGGCGCATCTCCATATACCATCCCATTGAGGACTAGGGCTTCAACATACAAGTTTAGTGGGGGACACAAACATTTAGTCCTTAATAGAAGCCACTTTTTCTTTTCTTTTTTTAAGATTTTATTTATTTATTTGACAGACAGAGATCATAATATAGGCAGAGAGGCAGACAGAGAGAGGGGGGAAGCAGTTGCCCTGCTGAGCAGAGAGCCTGATGTGGGGCCCCATCCCAGATTGTGAGATCATGACCTGAGCCGAAGATAGAGGCTTAACCTACTAAGCCACCGAGATGCCCCTAGAAGCCACTTTCTAATGAGGGCACGATAGATTCTCTCTTTCCTTTCGAAACTAGGACGATCATGTAATGGATGCCTTGACAAATGAGTCCTGTTGTGTTTGCAGGGGCCTGGGGAATGCTCCCTGACTCTGTCCCAGGAACACAGCGCCCCCTGCTGTTCTCTTCCTGCTCCACTCATCTCCTTTCAGCCAATTCCACCTTTACCTTAAGTTGTTATTTTAGTCGGTGTCCTTGTAGGAGCGTGGGTCATCATGGTACCTCAGGACCAAGAAAGTTTTAAGAAGTTAGGTGGAATGGTGGAGTGAGAAAGGGAAAGCTCTTTTTGTAGTAAAATACCAAGTTATCAACGTAGGAGGGGGGATGGAATTAGAAAGTCACTTCTTTTATAAGCTGTCAGTGTCCTAATTGATTCAGGCCAGGATTATCAGTGGATGCTAAAATCACTGGTAGAAGATCGTGGGGAGGGACGCCTGGGTGGCTCAGTTGGTTAAGCAGCTGCCTTCAGCTCGGGTCATGATCCTGGTATCCTGGGATCGAGTCCCACATCGGGCTCCTTGCTTGGCAGGGAGCCTGCTTCTCCCTCTGCCTCTGCCTGCCACTCTGTCTGCCTGTACTCACTCTCGCTCCTCTCTCTCTGGCAAATAAATAAATAAAATCTTAAAAAAAAAAAAAAACCCTTAAAAAAAAAAAAAGAAGATCGGGGGGAAGTAGGATATTCTCATTGTGCCAAAACATAACCCACAGATTACTTAATTGTGAATGAAACAAAGTATACCTTTGCTACAGTGAAATTTGGTCCCCACATCACTTTTACATCATAAACAGGGAGACAGACTGGCATCTGTGAGAAGGTATAAGCAGTTTTGTTAAAAAGGTTTAACCTGAGTCTAATCATGAGGAAATAATCAGATAAATTCAAATTGTGGTACATTCTTTAAAATAGCTGCATGGATCCTTCAAACACATCAGGGTCATGAAAGATAAACTATAGAAGGGTTCTAGATAAAGTAGACAAAGAGACATGGCCATTAATAACAGTATATGATTGGGATTGAAATCTGTATTTAAAAACAACTGTAAAGGACATTTTGAGGACAACTGGAGAAGTTTGAATTGGATTATATTATATAATATGTTATTCGAGTAGTAATAGTATTATGTAGGAGAAAATCCTTGTTCTTAGAAGAAATGTACTGAGGTATTATGGATGAGGTTCATGTTGTTGGCAGCTGATTTTGAAATGGTTTAGAAGCTGGATTTGTTAAATAGATGTGAGAGAGAAGAGGCACGTGTGGTAGTATATCTTAAGAACTGATTAAACAAACATACATAGATGGACACATAAATATTTGTTTTTCTCTTCTTTCAACTTTGCTATAAGTTTGAAATTTTGCGAAGTGAATCATTGGAATAAAAGATGACTAAATGGAGACTCAAGAAAAAGCGGAAGGCGTGGCCACTTGCGCAGACTGGCCCCATGCCCTTGCTCCTTCTGATCCTTTCTCCAGCCCCAAGGCCTTTCTCTTTGTGCTCATGTACCTTTCCTACTTGGAGGCCCCTTTTCTGCTTTCCCAGAGGCCTCCTCTGGCTTGGGTGCTCCCTCGCAATGGCTGTGCTTTGGCAGTACTCCTGGCCAATTCGGCCTCCAGTCTAGAATCCTGAGGGACAGTGAACCTGACAACCAACCAGGGCCCCAGGCTGCCAGCTAGCCAGTGGGGGGACTGCATGTATACCAAGTGCCTGCCTGTACAGCAGTCAGCTGTGGAGGGGTTCTTTGGGTGAAGTTCATGGCCAGCCCTGCTTGCAGGCTGTGAGCTGGGCAGATGGGAGAGCAGGTGCTCCCGAGGGATTTTGGTATAGTTGGCAGGTATGAATCTGTACCCCGCTTTTTTTTTTTTTTAAGATTTTGTTTATTTATTTGACAGACAGAGATCAGAAGTAGGCAGAGAGGCAGGCAGAGAGAGAGGAGGAAGCAGGCCCCCTGCTGAGCAGAGAGCCCGATGCGGGACTTGATCCCAGGACCATGGGATCATGACCTGAGCCAAAGGCAGAGGCTTTAACCCACTGAGCCACCCAGGTGCCCCTACCCCGCTTTTTCTGATTATAACTAATAAATGTTCATTATAAAAATGTAAATGATAATGAAAAATATTTGGGAGGCAGTGGTAAAAAGCCTGGGCTGGAGTCAAGACTGGCTGAGTTCAAATCCCAAGACTTATTGTGTGTCCTTAAATAAATGACTTCACCTCTCTGTGCCTCAGTGTACTCATGGGTAGAATGGAGTTAATGATGTGGTGGTGGTGAGGATAAAATAA